TCTTCCAAGGCAGAGGTAAATGACCCTCGTAGAAGTTCCAAATCAACAAGAAAAAGAAAAGAAGAGCAAACACAGCCCCCAAGAGTTTTAAAACAAGTGTCTCTCTTTGGCTGCCCACAGAGCTCTGTTTTGCTGCCTCGTTCAGTAAAGAAGGTGGTGCTGAAGACTGAAAGCCCTCAGCTCCTGCTTCATTATGCTTATTGGCTGTGGCAAGAACATTTGCTGCTTCTGTCTTTTCTTGGGCATAAAGGGCATAGCGGGCCATGGTGGTAAGGAATTCCTTCCCTTTGGATGTCTCTACTGAGAGACAATCATAGAAACCAGCCGCATCCGCTGTCACATTAAGTATTGCTATTCCTCCATCATAGGGGAGATATTTAGAGTCCTCGGCCTGAAGTCTGCTCCCATTAAACGTCCACACTACGCTTGCCAGATTTGACAGAGGAACACATTTAAGGTGAACATTGTTTCCAAGGGTAAAGAGACATTTTCTCACACTATTTTCTGAAATTATGAAGATAATGTTTTTTAAGTAAGAACACTGGGGATTTAGCTTAACTTAAATAACCAAACACATAACCAGATAAATACACAATTTAATTCACCCGCCTGACTACGGGCAACAAACAGGGAAGGGGTAAAGACAAAGAAAAGCCATTACTAACAGGCCTGCCTATCAGTGACAATAAGCTGGCCTTATTCCCACTGATGTGTAACAGGACGAATCGGGGACTAGAAGTTTAAGCCTAGCAGATTTTAATCTGCTTTCGCCTCACCCGTATACATAGCCATGCATAAATAAATTCACCTTTGTATGCCTCAACTTCTGTACTGGTTGATGACATCTCTCCACAGAAATGCTCTGATCTTTAGATTTGCCTGCACAATGCTTCTATCAGCTACATAAAAGTTGTCCAACCATCCCACTGAGTGCCTGATTATCACTTGCCATGCGGGTCAAAATATACAAGACTAAAGACAACTCTGACTTCAGAGTGACCTAAGTGGAGGTGAGAGGTACATCTTGTGTCACGAGGAAAGCAACGTATCTTAGGGACAGGGCTTAGTGGTGGGATGGCAGAGTTAGGGTAACGGTTGGACTTGATGATCTTAAAGGTCTTTTCCAACCTAAACGATTCTATGATTCTATCTTGCAACTCATTACGAAGTCACTGAGTAATACTACCAGATCACACACACCTGCAACTGTACATTAAAATTAATTAATTTCCCAATCCCACTAAAAATAACAATTTTAAGCGGCTGATAACAAATACCCTTCTTTTTAACTGTACTCTTGAATAGTGTGTCACGTATCTGCACAGCAGCATCCTAAAGCAGTGAGATTTAATAGGACAGCTGATGTGTCGTGCGATTTCTGCGAAGTGGGTGTGGGAGGGACACCAGTAACTTCAAATGGGTCACACTCACGCTTCCCTTGAGAGTCAGAGTTTCACTCTGAAGTACCCTGGCATTTAGATTGAGAGGGTTAAAAGAATTTAGGCAGCACCAGCTCAGTGTGGCTTTTTTTGGTCTTAGATCAAAAGTAATAATCAACATGATTTTAATTCTGTGGTTTTCTATAATGCAAGAATTCCCATGAGCACACAGCATTTTGATTGCATGAAGTTAAAATATTCTTTCTTAAAACAAACATTCACATACCTATGCTAAGGCAGCTGGAAGCATCCCCATATTTCACACTTTGAATTAAATTCCTGAAAAAAACAAAAAAACAAGAAAACAAAAAACCCCCAAAAGCCAAACAGATGAAAACACAGACAATAAGTGCGCCAGCTTGTACCATTCCTTTTCTAGGAATTGTTTTGTGTTACAGACATTAGGAGTGCACGGATAAAGCAATCTCACGCCGGGTGTGCAGCTGAAACAACAGCTTTTTACTTACTTGCTACGGCCGGTCTGATTTGCCAGTGGAACACATTCGTTAGCAGACTGCGACCACGCGCAGTACGGATCCCGCGCCAGGATGCAATCCAAGCAGTGCTTGTATCGGTGGCACTCAGAGACGGGAAGCTGTACCACTCGAGATAGGGACCCTGCATAGAGCATTCCCTGGAAAGGCAGGAGGAGTTATTTTACACTTTTAAGCTGTTATTTTCTAATATAGAGTCTAAGGTTTTCTGGTATTTATTAAACATATCAATAAGCTAAAGATCTTGTAAGAACAGGGGGTGATATGAATGAGAAAACCCCCTTCACTTTCCATAGCATGTAAAACGGCAGAGCTCCTTCTGTAGTTTTTTAATGAACGTAAAGGCTTGGTTCAGCTGCATTTTGACACAGACAATTTCTTCCTCTACAGAAAAAAGATGTGTTGTGCTTCTGTTATTAACAAATACATGATAGAAGCAGCATTATGAGACATCTACAGGCTATTTAAAAGCCAAAAGAGCACCACGGAGGAGCAAGGCCCAAGGCAAGCTGTTACAGCAGTCACTTGCCGCAGGTAGGGGCAGTTCTACCTTTTTGGAAGACAGCTGGAGAGACTGTACAGGCTCAGGAGACGGGAACAGCTGTAGCTCTTCCACAATGAACATTTCCCCATCACAATTGAAAGCTTTATGCAAATATCCGTCATCTACATAAAATGAAAAGTATTTCTAAAGATAAACTTGTTTAAACATAGCATTTTAGCCTGGTAATTCATGTTGAAATTAGATAGAGATTTAGAAGACATTCCTGGGCACAGGGAATTTTTGAAATTCTTCAAAGCCATTCTTATTTTTTCTTTCAGTAAGAAAGAACCAGTGATTTTTTTTCAGGGGGAAAAAAAAGACCTCAAACAATCCCTGCATTTGCAAATATTATTATGTCAAGTCTCCTTTGATATGGAAAGTTTCTAAAGAGAGCCTTTTAATGTCCAACAAGCCAAACGCATTTCATCTACCTGGGATAAAAATATTAAACTAGCAAGACCGCTTCTGAATGCAAAACTTCAAACAGAGCTGATGAATACTTTTTACTTTTTTGAAGTCTCAGAAAAAAATTCAGGAACAAAAGACATAAAAATGTAGAGTATCTTCTCTTAAAATAAAAGCACTTACCTGTTCCGAGAAACATAACATCGTACGTTTGTTTATCTAGGCCAGTGACTCTGTCTACTACAATCCTGGTATAGTTTGAACCTCTCTTCAGTAGCACCGGTCTGTTACCCGTTGGATTTACAGAATTATCCATTAGAGGGTGATCTCTAACAAACTGCAAAACTTTGTCAGGCAAGTCAGAAGAAGTATTATACCCAATACTCCGGGCAAAATTATCAATGCACTAGAAACAAAACATAACAGACATAATTACAATTGCTTTTACGTTTCCCCAAGGCATATAAAAAAGCTGTATTTCCTTCTAAGCATTCAGTTATTTTTACTTATCTTCAAAAGATGAAAATCGTTATTTTTCTCACACTTTATGAACTAGTTAACACCCCACATCGCTTGTGGAGCGGAACTGTAAGCAAGGCAGCTTTTCTAGGAACCTTCATAGGAAGGAATGAGAAAGCAGGTATCTCTCTGCTGATTATAAACACTGCGTTTACATTGGTAAGACATGAGCTAATGATTTGCTACCAAAAAAAGATAATCCAGAGGCTGTTCTTTAATTAGAGCAAGTAAATTCGTATTTACAGCACCAGGACGTGGAACTGGCACTTCTCCCCTGTATACCATCCACTTCACAGGGGAATGTTCTGCAGTTACTGGTCCTTTGTAGCTTCCTTTGGAGAAGACTTCCTGAATCTTTTTCATGCTGTATGCACAAACTGCTGATATGTCTAATCTTCCCCTGAGAAGGAAACAACACACAAAATAAAAGCAAGTTTTACCGGCTTTTCTATAGAAAGAAATACCATAAGATAACCCAATCTCCACTGCTGTATCTTTTTCAGGATTAGTGAAAGGAGACCTAACGCTAAAAATGCTCCCCTGTTGCAGTTTTCATGATTCACTAAGAGAATAAAACAAAGACATTCATAAAAGATGGTATTAAATATGTTGTTGTTAAAAATTAAGTCACCACCCTCAAATCAATTGAAACAACTTAAAGAACGAGGCCCTTTTGACAACCTTCCTTGTAAACAGACAGGTGAGCCATACCAGTATTGTGGAAATCAACACTTTGACAGGATTCTCCTCCCTTTGGCTCCACGCTTCTGACACAGACCATTAATTCCTCTTCTAATCCCTTTAACTCATCTTACTAAAAACCACAATACTTTTCCTCTTTGCCTCCAATTACAATGCTTCTCAAAATGACGACTGAAAATTTAGGTAGACTCTTAGGAGCGTCTGGGTCGCACGCCGCTGTGATGTCAGTTCCACCAGTGAGTAACAAGTCTAAGTCTCTTTGCCACATCCAAAGGAATAAATCTTCTACAAAATCCTATCTCAGGAGACATTGAGCCCAACCTGCCATAACCAGAAATAAAGCTCACAGAAGCTCCCGTGGGTATAAACTGATGGGTAAATGGGTGGCAGCAGGTTAAGCTGGACAGTGCTGACTGTGCTGCGTTCCGGTAATTCTGATGCTTTTATAAAACACCGGAATTACCTACTCACGGCTACTTTGTAATTGGTATTTTCTGACATGTAAAGTTTTGATACACCTTGTCTTGTTTTTCTTCATTAGCCAGAGCATTACGAAAAAGCTAATTAACCCTAAAACCTGTAAGCTATTTGTTTGGAGTTCTGTTTTTATTTTCATAGAACATTTCATTAGACAAGCAGGCCTTGTTTTGGAACAGGAGAGTAATTCTGCACCTTGAAATGTCAGCTATTTCCTTTAGTGCCATGAAGACCAGAAGAATCCAGGGCTTTGTGTATGTAATTATGTAATTTTATATGTAATTAGCTTGAATTGCCCCACCATCCCACTAGAGAGAACATAACTCTACAAACTTGGCTTTGGAGAAGCTTTTGGTTAGTCTTTAATTGAAGGTTTTGGCCCAGGAACCAAAAACATTTTGTTTCAGATGATAATGTTTGTTCAGTTGGATTAAGCTGTAAGAAAAACAAATGTGGTCCATTAAAACATGCAGCCTCAGTAGCTGGTAGCTTCTTTTTCTGAGTTAAAGCCAAAAGGCTGTACTCAGGCTATTAATACTGAAGTGAGAACCCTTACTCAATTCATTACAAACTTTAGGAGTGTACATAGCCCTCTATCTCACCATTGTTGGGAGAAAATTCCATAAAATATGCTGTCCTGCCACTTCCTTCTCCTAAGTAAAAAGATGTCCTGGATGATATCAAAATGGAAGTTTAATTCTGGAATGGAACAGGAAAGGCGGGATTTTAAAAATGATGTCCATCTTCTCTGCAATATGCGTTTTCCACCAAGATCACCCTAAATGAAGGAATAACATCAACACTGTAGAATGCTGAAAGAAATTGATGTGATTTTCACCTAATGGGGTTGGCTGTGGGGAAGAATACAGTTGGCCTTTCAATATAAATCCAGCTCAAAGAAAAAAGGTTTAAATGTCAAATGCAATCTGCACAGCTGGTTCTGTTCTAGCAGAAAAAAGAGGAAGCTAGTCCAAAAATAAAATGTGTAAGACAGAGTTTAGTTTGTTTAGCCAGCCTGGATACCATTGTAATCACTTGACTATGAAACTTCATCTGAAACACCCTAAACAAAATCTTTATACCACAAATACTAACTCTGCAGATACGGGCAATTCTGGACACCAGAAGCTTGTCATAGAATTCAAATTCAACAGCTGTTTCAGTGAAGAACACATAAATTTTATCATCATCTCCACTTGGATTAGATTCACTTTCATGCACTATTTCCATGTGGACAAAGCTTGGTTCTGAAACACATAAATACACAAAACTTTTTAAGTTTATTATGTGAAAAACATAAATGCCAGATGTTATTTTAAAATCAAGTCTAATTGAACTTTTTTTGTGGGCTAGTGGACAAGGAAAGGGCTGAAAAGTGTTTATGAATCTATCACATGTTAAGAGAAGGAACTGTGCTTTCAGAAATGGAAAGGGGCTGTGGCTCGTCTCATCACTGTAGTCCGTAGTCACAAACTTCTTTTTAATTCTGTCCTTAGTTTAAAAGCTCACACTACAAAATCAATACATAACATACACTACATTCTAGAGAGAATTCATACACCGAATTAGAGACTGAAATATAGAAAAAATCTCACCATTTAGCCATGATGTTTTAAACTCTGTTCTCACAGAATTTCTCATACTGCGAAGTATTATAGGTTCTGTCCCCAAGAAATTATTTGAAGTAGCGGAATAAAATTCCCCATCTGTAAAGATTTGGAAGAAACAAGAAAGTATAAAGTACTTATTTTTAAAATGCAAAGACGTATCGTAAGGAACAAATTGGGGTTGACAAGCAAAAATAGAACTAGGATAACAGTATCCAGTAACTTAGTTTAGGTGAGGAAAACCATCTCAGGCTGCCTGTCAGTCCAAGCGTACCTACAAAAATGGACGCATACTTCAGAGTTGGTTCGAATGGACACTTCCCTCTGCTCTCTTCAGCTCTTCCTTGCAAGCTCATGTTCGTCCCATGGATAATCTATGGCAAACAGTCATTGAAATAGAATAAAAAAAAAAGACATTTGATAAGAACTTTTCTGGTCTTTCACACCTTTAAAGAAGAATTAGGGAAGTTTCTAGTTTTCAACAGGAATATTTTTGAGGAAAGTGATCAAAGATCTGCCCTGCTACTCAAACATCTTCAGCAAAACCTCTATTAAAACATAATTACCATATGATCACAAGCTGGGTGATACGCATTGGTTCCACAAACATATAGGTTGGAGTCGTTTATCTTATGGAGGAAGAGGATGTAGTTCTGGCATCTTATCTAAAATAGAAAAAAAAAAAAATTAAATAATGTAGTGGATTGCATCTGAAAATATCCTGGTGTCTTAGCAGCAAGCAAACAAGCCCAACAGATTTAAATGAACTTGCTTTTCCTTCATTTATTAAAAAGAAGCTTGATAAAATTTTCATTTTAGTTAATAACTTAGAGGGGGAAACAGAAGTTCCTACCTTGTCCTTTCCTCTCTGAATACATTCCAGTTGTCTTTCCTGCGTAGCAAACCAGTATTCCTAAAAGCCAAAAATACTTGTAAGGTGGTATGTTGCCATTTTTCTTCACAAAATAGTGTGTAAAAAAAAGCTCTAAATAATCCTAACTTTGAGCCTGTTGGGTAAATAAGCATTTTTCCATGTATCTCTGTAACGTACAAGGCATAATAAATAACCTGAAGAGAGAAGCATTGCTTTACTTAAAAGATTCTGTGATAAAGTTACAAGCCTTGAAATAGGAATACTTTTATCCATTTAAAATCAGAACATTATCTTCAAATTAAGAAAACCACAGGCAAAGCTTTTTTTTAAAGAAGGCATGGGAAAAAAAAGAAGTGTCTTTAATTTACCCTGGCTATTTCTCTAGAAATATTATTCAAGTCAAGAGCAAATACTGCATCTCTGCCTCCAACAAATAAGGTATCGGTTTCTTCATTCACAAGGAGAGTGGAAATATTGGATAATCCTTCTTTCATAAAAGTATTTATATTTCCAGCTGTATAACATAGAAGATAAGTTATTTTAAAAATATTGATCGCTACAATCACACTGTAATGTAATAAAAATTCCAGATTGAAAGCAAATTGCGACAGAACAAAGGCAAAAGCTTATACGCATTTCCAGAACATTTTCTAAATAATATGAAAGTATTTGAATAAACGCATGGATAGTCTTTTCCCAATTTATTGCTGGAAAATAAACAACACTATTGTTCTTATCAATAAGGCCAAACCTACAGCTGCAACAATTATTGTTCAGGCATTCCTCACTCTCAGTTGGCTGAGTGCATCCACAACACTCGAGGTGAAACAGTCCATAGTATTCTTTATGTGCCTAATAAAAAATAAGCTCCCAACACTCTGCTGTGTTTCTTTCTGCTTGGGAAATTACTGTTTTTCACTTACTTTGGTATTTTACTGTTTTTCTGGGAATGCAGTTCCCAACAGATGTGTTTGTGTCTTGTATTAATTGCAAAATGAGATAAAGGACAATAGCGGTGCTGCCCATTTTCAGAGATTCAGCTAGAAATAAGTTCTTCCCAGTTTTTATTCCTTGTCATTAAACAACTACAGGCAGCAATTTCTTCGTGGTTCTTGAAAATGTCCTATGGAAGCCCTCCAAAGTGAGTATCTGTAGTCTTCGAATATTTTCTGAAACTTGTCAAAACCTCTTACATTTGCCGTTCAGATAACTACTTCCAGACGTCCTAAAATTAAAAGCAGTTTAAGTTCACTTAATAATATTAAGTTATTTAAGTTCACTTAATAACATAGTAAATATTTGGTTACCTTCATTTTTATGAGAGATGGACAGCCATACCCTTTTACAAGATTCTGTAGCTATTACCTCTATTTACACTAATCAGAAGTAGACACTACGCTGATGGCAATTCCAAGCTATTACCAGCAAACCAAGCTTTGCGCCAAGTCTGCGATTCTCATTTGCAAGCTGCAATGTTTCAGATTTTCTGCAGGCTATCTAAGTATTATTTCAGAAAGAGTAAGAACAAGTGGGAACATTTTGCAGCAGTCAGCTGTTGTAAGTATGTAAGACAAATCATAGCTAGAACTGCGTTATTTACAGTAATTCACCAGTTTTATATGTATGTTATATAAAGATAATATATACCTATCAAATCAACCATATGTTATGAAAAAAGAATTTATATTTTATTAAGTTAATTAGAATCAGGGACTCTTATGCCTGGAATTTTGGCAGCCCACCTAAATGAATATGCCCTCCAGCCAACGCTAGAAAATCAAGCAAAATTAAAGCTAGGTAGTTGTCACCTGCAATTACAGAAACCACAGAGCTAGATTCCAAACTTGCTTTCCTAAAGAAAAATGGCATCTCTGCACTTTCTGCACTTTCATCTGGAGGCAGATTCCAACAACTGAGGAAACCGTTTGCATTAGCATAAGCCACGTGAAATAGTTTGGATTAGAATACTTTTAAATTAGTAAATCAGGTTGGAAACTTCAGGAAACCATTAAATAAGTCTGTTAGCCCCTGTATTAGGACCCAGGGTGTGAGACTGCATCGACAGATGTTGCCCACGTGCCAAGACGTTTCCTTGGCCAACTGCACCTCGCTCCCAGGACGTCAGGTATCGGAGCACAGGCGTTTTCCAGCGTCTTGTTTTATTCTTCCCCATGACCAGCTTTGTTCACAGCACCTGGGAGGGCTGGTCCTGGCAAGAACGGTCACCAGGAGTTTGCAGCCGTCCTGTCCCATCACATCTTTCTTTCAGCGGACAAACATTAATCCTGACCCTGGCTTCCCACTGCACGCTTTGCTTTACCCCTTTCCCTGATGGGCACTCCTGGGCTGCACACGTGGTGCGGCCACTGCCTGGTGG